ATAAATTAAAAAGTAAACATATTAATTAATAAACAATAATAATAAACAAATCAATAAGTAAACAATAATTATAAACATCATTAATTAATAAATCCTCATAATCAGTGTAATTTCAATTTTTTTAATAACAAATATTAAAAAGCCGTAAAATTATTTGCATATAAAAAATAATTTTATAGTTATACTTACGTAGCAGGTACTACGAAATACGAATTAACGGAATAGTATCTTATTATTATTTGTACTTATAATCTTATATTCTTATTACTATTTATTATGCTGTTAGTTCAATAGTCGATACAATACGTCCAACAACAAGAAAGTTGTGTTGGCTACTGATGAAGAATTACTTACTCATATTTATCAATCATGAAAATAACAGACAATCGTCAGAGACGCTGATAGTAGGACGTAAATAAAATTCTGATAATACTATCATTCATATACCAAAATTTTTGAACATCCGAGAAACTATACTTATCTTCTAGGTATACTTATAATATTATATTATTCTTGACTTGTTTTTTTATATAATAAAAGTTATTTATTTTTTGATAGAATTAATAAACGATAGAATGTAAAAAATTTAAAAGAGAGCAACAAAATAGCTATGGAATCATAGCTTATTTGATTTAGAAGAGATTGCAACGATATGTCAGAAACTTTTTTTAGGATGGTTTTTCAACATTGAGGGTGGTTTTGAAAATAAGTTTGAACGGGTAAATTTTTTATTCTTATTCTATCCACGGTAATATTTTTTCCAATTTTTTTAAGCTCATTATGAACTTTTTTTCAAAAATAGGAATAAAGAAGGTACAAATTTCGATGACAGAAATTAGAGGTTGCAACCCTTGTGGTTGAAACTGCACGAGATAGTTGTGTTTGTACATTATAAATGATACGCAACGTATTTTACAGTAAATTATCAACACCACCTGTAATGTATTGGAAACAATTTTTTGGGGGTGGTTTTTCAACATAAGGGGTGGTTTTAAAAATAAAAGGTAAATTTTTTTTCTTATTCTATCCACGGTAATATTTTTACTAATTTTTTCAAGCTCATTATGAACTTTTTTTCAAAAATAGGTACAAAGAAGGTAAAAATTTCGATGACAGAAATTAGGGGTTGCAACCCTTGTGGTCGAAACTGCACGAGATAGTTGTTTTTGTGCAGTATAAATGATACTTAACAAATTTTACACTAAATTATCAACACCACCTGTAATGTATTGAAAACATTTTTTTAGGGGTGGTTTTTCAACTTTAAGGGGGTAGTTTGAAAAAAAGCTTGACTAGATTAACTTGCAACGATTACTGAAAATCGTCAGACGCGCGAGGTTAATGAGCGGCTAAACGAGAGGAGCCGCGTTCGGTTCGCGAGGGAGAGAGAGCGCGTAGGGGCAATGACCGGGAGGGGAGGCTCCGACCGGCAGTATGACTGTGTCACTCAGTCAGTGCGTTGACCTAACCTCCGTTTTCCCGAGCCGTTCAAGTTTTCGCTTTGGTGTTGCGAAGTGCGAGGTCGGAGGTGCGAACGTTGGTGTGCTGAGTGCTTAGTGCAGCAGCAACAACAATAGCAGCAGCAGCAATAGTAGCAGCAGCATTAGAGGCAACAGCAATAACGGCGGTAGCAGCAACAACAACGACAGCAACAGTAATCTAGGCGGTGCGGCAAGCAGCGCAGCAGCGTATTAGCAGCGTGTTAATCGGATACGGTTGGCCACCGTATCCTCATCGTCCTTGCGGTAGGTGCACCATCCCTTTTATTGTTATAAGCGTGCGAATCCGCGCAGCGAGCGCGAAGAATTTGTTTGTTGCGCGCGAGCGGTTAGTTCGCGGCGTCCGTGGTTTTCTCTCTCTCTCATTTTCAGCGTGTATTGTCATTCACGCGAGCGTGCGCAAGACTCTTGGCAGATTCCCCGTGTCATTGATTTTGTTGAATAAATCAATCCTTAGTTTTATTTAAACGAGTTTCAGTTATTGTGTCATTCCTTTGTCCGGAGGTCGCGTCAGTATTTGCTTACGTTTGATTCGAATTCGCCGGTAGCGTAGCACGAATCACGAAAATAGCGATAGGCGGGAATCGTCAACCTAGGTTCCAGCGGCGGCCGCACGAGCGCTACTAGTAAGGGCGACAGCGCCGCCAAGCGGCGAGTTGGGGGAACCCAACTCGGAATAGTAAGGAGACTCTGCGCAGGCGCACTCCGAGACAAGGTAGGTTGCTGTGCTTTGAGCACAGAGATAACAAGGCGTCGTCTAGTCGTAAATAAAGGTACATTTACAGGATTACCGACTAAACGGCAGCCTGTTACAAACTTTATTTTTGTATTTTATGTAGGGTAATATTTTTTCCAATTTTTTTCGGGTTATTTTAATTTTTTTCATAAAAATAGCCATGAAATAGATAGTATTGTAACGGGGATTTAGGTTACCCCGTTAAGGGTGATGCTGTGTAACTGCTCGACTTGCGGGTAACTCGTGCGGGGAACGCGCGGGATTCAGCCCAGCGGCTCAGACATGCCCCTCGAAGGCGTCCTGGCCTTCGGCCCGCGGAGAGCGTCGTAGATCAGGTAGCAGCGGACGGTATAAGCCGGCGTGCGCGTAACGCGGGAGGGAGGAAGTGCCGTGAGGAAAGACGCAGTAATTAACAGAATGGTTATTTATTAATATTAAGATAATAAAGAAAGCATACAAATAGCAGTCGCAGCGAGAGAGGCAAGTGGGAAGCAAGCGAGAGAGAGAGTCTTGAAATCGAACGGGCACTTACATGGCAAGCTCGATGTGGCGTCGGCTTTAAACTCGACACGCGCAGGTGTCCGGCCTCGAGGCAGATCTCTCGTGCTGAACGGGTGAGATCGGCAAACATACACTCACGCGCGCACCCAGGATCGCACGAACGCTTCGTCCTCTTTTTTTTGGTGGCAGAACCCAGGCTGTGTAGCACCAAGCACTACTTTTTCTCGCGTCAATCGCCAAACTTGCTTCCTCTTGCCAAGGCGGGCTGTCGCTCCTTACTGGCACGCGGACGTGATCCCCTGCCTCGCGCTAGCTAACCGGCAGCGGCGCGTCTCAGCCAATTAACTATGTGCGCGACACTCCGACGTCCACGCTTACACGCGTACACGCGGGTCTCTCTCTCTCTCTCTCTCTCTCTCCTCGGTGCTCCCTGATTTACCTCGTGCCGCGTCCGCAGCTATGGCAAGACAAAAATACATAAGGAAAAGGATACATGGGTTATCAACGAATTATAATTAACTTAAGGGGGGAGAGAGATATAACGAGCCTCACCTCGTTATAGTATTTTACATAAAAAAATAAGGGTTGCATCCCTTGTGGTCGGAATTGCATGTGCTTGTTTGCTTTTCACATGAGAAGTGATATGAAATTTGTTTGGTCGTAAAATATCAATTAGATGCTGAGATACATTGGAAAATCTATTTTTGGGGGTGAACTTTGAGAGTTGTTTTCACCCCCTCAAAGTGTTTTTCCGCCGATAAAAAAAAATACGTATGTCTTATTTTTTGATGAACTATAACATATCAAAAGATTATTGAAATCGGTGAGGTCGGGTTGGGGGGGTTTCCTTGTCAGAACATACAGCTTTGAAAGTTTCGACGTCGAATTTTAAGTCAAACGACTTTAATCAACTACTGTTCTGCAAGAAAATTAAGATATATACCATAGACAGGCTAACCTACCTTTAACCTAAATTATATCATTCTCATAAATCCTTACAACCCTTAAAAACCACCCCTGCCAACCCTCAAAAAGACTAACCTACCTACGATAATTCTGGGTAGAGCGAGTTTAATCGACTGCTTTTCTATGAGGAACGTAAAATCTCAACCAGATAGGCTTAGCTGTTGTCTCCTTGATGTACTCTATCCTCAGAAAACCCTACAACCCTTAGAAACCCCCTCTACCAACCCCCAAGCAAACTAACTTATCTAACCCTTAGTAGAGCGAATTTAATCAACTGCTTTTCTGTAAAAAAATGAATATCTCATTGACATTGTCTGTGATATACCCCTCCCCAGGTCGGGGTGGTTTATAAGGGCTGTAAGGGTTCGTGGGGATGACGTAATTTAGGTTGAAGTTGGGTTAGCCTGGCCATGGTGTATATCTTAATTTTGTTGTAGAACAGTAATTGATTGAAGACGCTTGACACAAAATTCGACGTCGAAACGTTCAAAGCTATATGTTCTGAAAGGTACAATATTCATGAAATGAAAAACTTTGAAATTTAATATCTCAAAGAAAAAATAAGCAAACTGAGCAAATTCAACGCATTAAAAAGGACTAGACTGCTTCTTTAATATGTCGTTTGTAGTTTTTTACGTGTAGATAATGTCGTGGTTCTACATAACCTCAGATATAGGTAAAAATCGCTAATTTCACACTTTTGGATTAAGATATCTCAAAATCCTAATGTGCTGGTGTAATTCTGAGGCCGGATTTGGTTTCAGCGCCAAAAATTCTTTGGGAAAACATATATGGTTTGCTTGTGCAAAAAATTAAGGTATTTTTGTAGCACTGTGCAATTCGCTAAATTTTTATGTTAAATTATTAAAATTAAATTTTAATATACATTTCAATAAATTAATTACATTATCAAAACGAGATAGAATTAGGAACCCTAAGTACTACGGCTTTTCGCCATCCCCAACCGCGTGGCCCTTCAGAGAAAGTGGCCCAGAATATACGTTGCTATACATTCTAGGTGCTGTCAATATGACACATTGGGTACATCAAACATAAAAGATCCAGTATGTTTGAGCTACGTTGTGTAATCAGTCTATCATATCATGTAATATAAGGAAAGTGTAGCCGGATCCCATGACTTCCTGAACAAAATTTTCGAATCTCAAATATACAAATTAATTCATTTTATTTATTAAGAAGGAATAAGTTATGTTTTATTCTACGTATGGAAATAATTTATTTGTTATTTTATAGATAACATTGTATAACTTTAAGAAAATATTACATAAAAATAATATATATGATATTATTGCCATCCCAGGATTGAGAGAAATAACATTGCATATGTTTTTACAGTGGTATTCCTTATAGGTTAAATTACATCTACTAAAATTGTTTACTCTATGATTTGAAATTAATAATATCTCGACATATATGTATTTATGTATGTCGAGACCCAAATAAACATATTATCCTTAATAATATTGTAATATAAAATTTTTATGTTACTTTAATTGATTAAGCCTATTAGGAATAAAACTATAAAAAAACGGACCATGATATCTACCTTAATGGTAGTGTGAAAACAATATCATTCATTTTTATGTAATATATTCATATTATACTAATATTTTTATATTTTCATATCAAAATTAAATAAATAACATTATAGATTTGAAATAGTATTAATATTCGAATTTATTATTTGACATTCAATCTAAACTATATTTGGCTGATCAGGAATAAGAGAGATAAAGAATGAACTGAAAAATGTATAAATAACTCGTATAGTTCTAGGCCACTCCAGCTGATGTTCATCGACAGGATTCAAGTGAGGTTGACGTATGTCTGCATCTACTCGCTGATTTTGATAATGCTGAGGAAGTAAGTTTGCAGGATTCCTATTTTGTTGCTCTTCTTCATTATGATAGATATTATTATTGACATTTTGAATAACTCCAAGCAGTCCGCTATGATAACTGAAAATATAGACATGATGTATTATATACAAATATATATTCATTTTTAGTAAAATATTAAAGTAATTTATTAAAAAACTTATTGTGTCAAATGTAACTAAAAATTTTTAATCAGTCTGGGAATAGAAAATAAATAGCAATAAAATAAATCTTATTTCAAATAAGATCAATAGAAATTTATCAGAATAATCAAGTAAATCTCTGTTGGCATCTCAAACTGAATATTATAATTTATCTTTATTTTTCTCTTTTAATACATATATTTGATCGAGATAACAATGGTTGAAATATGATTGATTTTTTCAAAAAACAAAAAAAAATATTAGCTTCGTCTTCATTTATTCCACCCGAAAACTGCTTTTTTGAATTGATATCCCCACTCCCTCCCCAAAAAATTAAGAATAAAAAGATATTTTCGTACAGTAGTTTAGCAATTCAAATTAACTTATTAATGAGTATACGTGGCAGAAAATCTATCTTCCAGCAGAAAAATATTCGATTCTGAAAAAAAAATTATGAATAGCTTCATCTTAATTTATACCATTTCAAAAAACATAAAACTAATTTGTACCTTGTAGTATTTGAATGATAAGATGTTTTTGTACAATCATAATATTGATAAATTTTACAGGAAAATCACTTATTTTCTAAGAAAAAATAATCTTCTAGTTTTTCCTTAACTTATAAAAACTGCTCTTGGTGAGTTCTTCTTTGGAGTCTTTATTAGATGTTTTCATAGCTACCTTGAACTGTTTATAGTGTTACAAATGTGATTTTGAATGTCTAATTCGAACGTTTGTATTCGTGGCAACGTCAGAGTGAATGTTTTGTTTTTGTTCAGTTAGTTGACGTCTGAGCGTCAAGTTAGAGACATTACGTTTATGTTTACGTTTTACATTATATTTGATAAAGTTTACGCTATAACTTAAAAAGTTTAAAGTCTGTGTTTTGCGTGTTTTATTTATTATACGTGAACGTAACATTTTGGGGGCTCGTCCGTTCTGAATTTGTTCGGGTTCTGTATATTTTCGTGACAGTGAGCCGTTTGTATCAAACGACAATGAGTTTCCAAAAGTCCGGAAAAACAACACGTTCACCAGTACGCGTTCCGCTGCAGACAAAGACGAGGGCGCAGTCTGCGATTGAAGCTGCGACCGCTGCTGCTACTTCGGACGACACTGCTACAACGAATATTTCGAAGTTGAGGCCACCATCGAAAATGCAAATAGATCATTCGTTGATATTTCTAATTGTATATCTGCTCAACAAACTATTTCGCCTTCGAGCTTGCTGAACGACCCGCTGTTGCTGGATTAAGGTTCACGCTTGTTAGCTTCTCTGCCGGTGGATGAGATACAAGTTTTACGTCAAGAACCATCCGTGCAATGTGGTGTGCTGTCGCTTGATGGGCCACAGTCTTTTCTTCGCCAACTTGATACAGCGAAAGCGGAATCGGGAAAGTTACGTCTAGAAGTTGCGGCTTTACACCGTCTTCAAGAGGAAGATGCACAAGCTAACCGGGAGGAAAGTGAGCGATCAACTCGACGACAATCTACATTGGAGAAAGCTAACCAAGACGAACATCGCCTACGAACAGACATTAAGTTGCAGTTTCACAGAGAACTAGCAGAGATGCAGGTACGATTGACGCAGCTAAGGAATTGCACCACATCTGTCATTCCACCATCGATTTCTTGTAATGTTGTACCGGTTCCATCTACCTCTATTCTTCAACCGTCCCCACAAACACATAACCCTACTCTTACACATGCATCCGTTTCAGTCCCTCAACATTCGCTATATCTTCCTATATACTCGCTATATACTCCTGTATCAAATACAAATGAAAACACATCTAACATTTCTAACATTCAACCACTTCCAATTGTAAATCCCTATATATTAGGATATAACTAACAACCCGACACTCTTGATGGTACTTCATCCGTCCGCGATTTCATTCATCAGTTCGACATTATTACTTAGTTTAATATGCAGATGAGATGACAACAAAAGTGGTATTGCTTTAGTTCCTTATTTACGTGGACAAGCTAGAACCGTGTTAGATAGTTTTCAGCATGGCTGTGTAAATTTTGTAGATTTACGCTCAAAATTAGACCTTCGTTTAGTCTAATTTTCGGTGATAGTTTTCAGGCATTGAATAGTTTTTCATTATTTCAAAATAGACGTCAATAAACGAATGAAGATTTCGCTGTACTGGCTATGGATTTAGAGAGATCAGCCAGATCAGTATTTGCTTGTTTTCCACCGCAAGAGCAGGATAAAATTGCTTGTTCGCAATTTATCCTTGCTTTGTTTGATGATTCTATTCGTGAACAGTTACAGTTAGAACGTGTAGTCTTTTACAAAATGCCTTTGAGATAAAAGCTATTAGGGAACAGAATCGTAGATTGACCCCACAGGTTCCACTGCCATTGCTTGGTTTTGCTCCTGTTCTATCAACTATGACTGCCCAATATTTTCATCAACCACAAAAACCTCTTCCCGGTAACCAGCATCCCCCCACTTGGAAGTTTACTGATCCTGGGTGTTGTTGGGAGTGTGGTTCCATTAATCATATCCGTGTTAATTGCTCTAAGTTTACTAGAAGGGAAATTAGAACGTGTCAAACTTTTTGGGGCGAGTTTGACAGATCGCGACAAAGCCCCATTGCAACCATATAGTCCTAATTCTTTTCATTTCGGAAAAATTTCGAGGAATTCGAAAGTTTTTAATTTTTCTAGCAAAGTTAATGGAACTTTATGTACATTTGGAATCGATTCCGGCTCTGATCTTTCAATTTTTAATTTTAAATTGTTTGATCCTAGTAAAGAAAGAATTCCTTGTGGTTCTTCTAACCTTAAATACCCTTCAGGTGAAAATGTTCCTGTGTATTTTAAGACGCCTGTTAGTGTGGAATTAAGAAAGCATTATTTGAATTTAATTACCTATGTCGCTGACATAGGAGATGATTGCATTTTAGAGTTAGACTTTCTTGATACTGCAGGCATTACTTCCTGTATAGAAACAGGCCTATTTGGTAGTTTCTCAGTTTCTGAGCAACGAATTTGTGGTTGTATTTCTTCCTCTTCTTCTTCCTCTGAAATTCCTGAATAATAATTCCTTGTATGAGAGAAGTTGTATTGAATTGAATATTTCTTCGAAAGAGAAGTTCAAAGAGTTCCTTGTTCAACATGAGTCATCTTTTACGGATGGGTCTTGTAATACGATTAAACATAAGATAGAGCTTTCTGACCCATGTCCCATTAAAAAACCTCTTCATAGACCCCCTTTTCACTATAATGCAGAAATCCAAAAGATGATTTTGGAGATGCAAAAGCATGGAGCTATTAGAAAATCTAAAAGTTCTTGGTGTTCCCCTGTAGTTATAAAAAGAAAGAAGGATGGCACATTATGGTTTCGTGTAGATTTTGGAAAGTTGAATGCTGTTACAATTAAAGATTCTTTTCCTTTGCCAAATATTTCAGAAATTCTCAATGATCTGATAGGATATTCTTGGTTTTTGACATTAGATTTAAAGTTAGGATATTGGCAAATTAAACTAGGGTCTTAGGATAAAGAAAAAACAGCATTTTCTGTAGGTCTTTGAGAGTTTGAGGTTATTGCTTTCGATTTATGCAATGCTCCAGCTATTTTCGAAAGGTTATTGGAGGATATTCTTCAAGATTTGATCCGCAAAGTTTGTTTAGTTTACTTAGACGATATTATGGTTAAGGCTAAGAGCTTCGAAGAAATGTTAGATAATTTAGGTAAGGTTTTCTCTCGTTTAGATGAGGCGAATATGAAGCTTAACCCGAAGAAGTGTGAACTCTTTAAGAGGCAGACAGAGTACCTGGGTCATATTATATCTCAGAAGGGTATAAGTATGGACCCTAATAAGGTTTCTGCTGTCTTGGTATCTAAGACAAAGAAACATATTAGGAGTTTTATTGGATTCGCTTCATATTCTAGAAGGTTTATCCCAAAGTTTTCTGACATAGTCAAGTCCCTTTATAAGTTGACTGAGAAAAACATTCCATTTGTTTCGACTTCAGAATGTCAGAAAGCTTTTTTTTTTTTTTTTTTTTTTTATTTATTTTTACAGGAAAATAACTCCCTTTCAACACATTACAAATTAAAAATAAGATTACAAAAAAATATAAAAACAAACGTATATATAATAACATACTAAAAAAAAACAATAACTAAATATAGAAAATACAAAACTTAATCTAATCTATCAATCGTGACACGAAAATTGGAAAAAAACAGAGTAATAATACTAAAGAGGTTTAGAACTAATTTATAATGGCAAAATATACTAATACTAATATCGCAACCAACAACAAAACTTATACACCTAAGAACTATAATTAATAAATGAATTAAATAATTAAAAATAGCTAACAATAACGCAGGAGTTTAGTGCTAATCGCATTTTTAAATTGTCTCACGGAGCAGGACATTATAGCTGGTGGATTTTGAAGATCGTTTACAATCCTGCACGCCCGATCAATCACCGAAATGTGTCCCAAACCGCCTCTCCTCATGCAGACAGTGAAGGTCACATGACGCTCACGCAATTCTCTCGAACGCTCAACATATCTGATCCTGCCCAAGAGATAATCCACGCCTACCAAGCCATGGCAGATCTTATAAAGGAATAATGCAGTTTGATATTCAATAACTGATGATATTGAGCCAATACTAAACGTTCTAGCCGCAGCAGAGTAGTCATGTGACAGGGGGTGCATCCCTGCGCCAAAACGATTTGAGAGGAAACGGATAAATCTATGTTGGATAGACTCAAGCTTAGCTCTATTATACCGCTGTTGCGGCGCCCATACAACTGCCGCATATGTCAGAATGGAACGCACGTGAGCATTATAGAAGACAACGAGTGTGTTCGAGTTACGAAAGTCACGCGTGCCCCTGAGGACAGATGACAGTGCCCTAGATGCAGACAAGCAGATGCGACTTACGTGGCAACTGAATGTCAG